AGCTCCCCTAAAAACACCTCCCTGGATATCAATACCCATGCAAAGCTCAGTGCAGACACTTGGCTCCGTGCTGCCAACAACGAGGTCAGGTTTAAAACGCCAGCAGTTTGATAGCAGGGAGAGCAGGAACATGCTCCTGCTGCAGAAGCAAGATGCCACCTTGCTAAATACTCCCTTTGGGCTGCGCCCGTTTCTCAGCAAAGGGTTAAACATTTCAGCACAAAGCCCTGAAACACTGAGATTACAGACAGAGCTGGAAGTGAGTATTATTACTAAGTGTCCAACACAGTGTCTGCACATCCAGTTCCTTCTAAATGTTCACAAATGAGCCCTTTGGGTGAAAATTTTTCTATGTGAGATGCAGGCGTCAGCATGTGTTTTAGCAGCAGTTGAACCATTTTTTTTTTCATTTCCGAACATCCAGAAAAAAGGTGGGGTTTTAAACTCTCATTTTTAATTTTTATTTTTATTATTTGTTCTAAACCAGTAAAGGCAATGGCTCAGAGATGTGAAACATAACAGGGATTGAGGGATGCAAAAGCTGGAAGACTACATTTTTGAGGAAGCTACACATTTTTGGAAGATTTTGGATGTCTTTGATTTAAACAAGTCCAAAGACTCCCCCTACGCACATTTCATTCCCTGAGATTTCTTATGCACTGCTGTGCTCTGAAGAGCAAAACCCAAGACCACACAGACTATTCCCAAAGAACTAATTTCAAATACTCTTTCACAATTACAGGGATGGGGCCGAACCTCACTGCGGTCATTTCTCCCATAAGCTAGGGTCACCACAGCAAGGCGAACAGAAGGACTTTATCCCTTATTTTCAATATTACAAAATGCAGGCAGAATCTTGATTTCAGGGAGCCCTACCAGGATGTCCAACTACAAAATGCAGGGGAAACCAGCTGTAAACTACATCAAACAGAAAGGAACAGTGATAGGTCTAATCCCAGGGCAAGAGGTACAGCTTCCCTAAGCATCTCCCTGCACAAACCTGGAATTGAACTTGCTGCAGCCACTGGCAAAATATTTCAATTTCATCCTCCCTTTTCATGTACAGAGAATTTGTATGGGGGATCATCTGGCTTTGTGAGGTAAGGTTAAAAAAAAAAAACAAAACACAAAAGGGAAAAAAGCCACCAAAGATGATCAGCTTGCAAATAATTAGGATGCGGACATGAGCTCCCTTATACTTCATTTCAGTACATTAGAAAGATCCAACCACCACCGTCTTCTGCAGGACCCCGTTTAGTAAGGAGGATGGTTAACCCATCTTCCGCATCTTCGTGCGTCCCTGGGCCGTACTTAATGTACATTGAGCAAACTGAAAACTAACCTCCTCCTGCAGTTCCCTCACTGTGTCCAGGGAAGAGCCTTCCTGCGGGATATGTAAATCCTTCACGAAATTTTTCCTCCGAGGTTGCATGGTGACATTCACCCTATTTTACTGCTGATGGGTGAGCGCAGAGAGCGGTAAAGACTTTAGGCTTCATTTTAAAACACAGGAATCGTGGTTTTAATATTCTTAGGTGTGATACACAAGGCTGTAATGTCCCCAACAATTTTTTTTTTTTTTTTTTTTAAATTGAAGTTGGAAAAAAACAGCTCCTATGTTTCTTTATAAACTTGTATGCTGCTCAAGAAAGCTGTATCGTGAATGCATTTGAAAAGGAAGCTGCTCGTGCTGCTGCAGCAGGAGCTGGAGATCTCTGGGTCTAAGCCAGCAGCACGGATCGGGCCCTGCCCGCTACCGCTTCTGCGGCAGGATAACGTACACACAAACCAGAATCAGGAAAGCGCGAAGCTGCTCCAGTTCTTGACTCCGCATCTTAACACAAGGCAATTTTCCTGAGCAGCCTGAAGGAACGTACCACCCCCAAGCAGACCTGAGCAGCTCACCCTGCCCGCTCTGCCGTGGAGTTGACACGGTGGCAACCATGACAAACCCCTGCGGCAAAGTCTTCCGAGGCTTTGCCTGTTGGAGCCCACGGTTTTCTACTGTTTTTTTCCTTTTCTTCTTGAAAAGTGCTTTCTAACGGCTTGGCATAATTTGTTGTCCTACATATGTTTGAATAGAAGCGTAATTATGCCACAAAAGGAGTATTTTTTATGCAACAAAACAGAAGGAACACAACACAACTAGGCTGCTTTGGTAGAAATAACTAGTTTGAAACACACTCAGAATCTAGAGGGCATTATAGATCAGATTAGAATAACAAAATGGGCCTGAACTATCATTCAGTCCACTGAGATTTTAAAAATTTTAAAAAAAATATGCCTGTCAGTGGATCTTCTTACTTATTTCTCTGTTTAGCAGATCAAGTAAACAAAATCAAATCATCTGCATTTTTAGAAGTGTGGGGAACATTAATATATCCTCTAGGTTTTATTCTTTCTAAAGAAGATGTCTCTTAAAATAACGCGTTCTTTACTCCAACATAGTGTCTTTCAAGTCACCTAGGCAGGACCCGCTGGATGATTAACAGGTTGCAAAAACCCAACACAATTCAAGAGTTGCATTTTGTCAACTGAAAGCTGAAGGAACCAAAGAGATTAAACTGCTTTTGGAAATGGGAGTTGGGTTCTTTTGAAATCTTTATCCTTTATATCCCCATGGAAGAGCATGTGCAAAGATTTCAATCCGGCACTGGAAGCTCACCTCCATCATCGACCTACCCGCGGAGAGGGGCTTCTCCAGGTGACTCACCCGACCGACATGGAGCAAGGATGGCAAAGCCGTAGCTGTAGAGTGGCAGGCACCCTTCAAGCAGTTCAAGAGCTTTTCCTCCACTGGTGCTGTCACTTAATTAAAGCAGGACTGTACTAATTAGGGGGCTGCTGGACAACGTGAGGCTCTGACAGCTCCCATCTATCCCCGAGCGGCACCCCAACGGGGTCACTCGTGCCTGAGGCGAGGGATGCTGGCCACCCCCCAGCTACGGAGGGCCAGTCTCCTGCCCACGGCTGGTCTCGGTGCAGACCCCCTCCCCGCGCACAGCGGGCAGGAGGAGTTGGGCTTGCTTGTACAGCATCCCGAGCTTAAAATTAGTGCTGCATCAGCAACCGGCCTAGCACTGGGAGCCTGGAAAGGACGTTTCTGGAGGTAGAAAAAGACTGGGAAAGTTCCTTGACGCTATGGTGCGCCTTCAAACCTTTAAACTGAAGTCACTATTCCATAGTTACGTCGATCGGCTGCAGCCCACTTACCACGGCCTCCTGTACACTTTTGGGAAACATCTCCTTAAAAAGTATAAAACTCCATACTGGAACAGTATCCAAAGTTTCAGAGATGACTGCATTAGCTTGCTTTATTCATTCTTGTAACATACTTCAGACTTTGATGAGGAGTTCTGATAACTAATACCTAGTCAGAGACAAAAACCCCTAAGTCAATCCGTGAAGACTAAACAGTTTCATAATCTTCAAAATAAGTTCTTGAATTTTTTATAGTATTTGATAGCAGCTTTTTATTGGTTACAAAACCTAAGCCCATATACAAAATTAGGAACACATTTAGATGCCTCTTTGAAAGAACGTTTTAGTCTATTTTAACTGATAGTTTAAAAAAATAATAAAAACAATGCAATTTTAAACACTGTTCTGAAAACGTAAAAGTGCAGCAATATACTTTGTTTCCTTTATTAACTATGAAATGGTGCAATCCCAATCAAAAGCTGATAAGGTCACAACAGAAAAAACTGAGCAAATGCTTTGTCCTGCCTTACCCAGTTCTCCGATGTTCACTTTTAATGTAATGCATTGAGTGCAAGAAAAGGATCAAATCTTCACAGTACTGGAAAACTGTTGTTTCAGTATCAATTTGTATGTCATCTCTAGGATAGTAGCAAGTGCAGGCTGAACAGGGTATCCGTCAGTCTATATGGCATACAGGGAGACTAAATTGCATTAGAAGGGGGGAAATATTTGTTCACAACAACATCCGCTGGAACTCTAATTTCACAAAAACTTTGTGACCTTACCTAACTTTGACTTTTTATTATTTAGTTTTTTAGCGAACACCACACAGTTTCAAGATTTTAGACTATAGTGTGTGAATAGGATGCAGTTACCATATGAAGCTTCAACTCAACTTTTGGGGAAAAGAAAAAAGGCACAATGAACTTCAACTCAATTTTATGTGCACAAGAGTTGAAAAATCTGAGCCACCTTAAAGAGAAATTGATTCTAAAATTTATAAAACCTATAAATAATCAGAGGCCAAACCACTATATTAAAACAGATTATCTAGCAAGTAAAAATCTTGCAGTTTAAACATACGCTTGTATCCAGTTGAGATACAAGACAACTCACTCTTTAAAGTGGCTCCACCTTGGCAGATATATATTTAATGAATGCACACCTGCTATGCGTTGTTCATCAGTGGAAAAACAGCTGATCCACAAAGCTCTGATGGCATCTGTCCTTATCTTCATCACAGTAAATACAACCCACATCCAATAACTAAATTAGTTTAGATTTTTCTATCCCTTCACATCAATGCATTGGGAAATTACACCCAGTAAACAACAGCAACAAAACCAGTTTGTGTGATAGCTTACAGAATTCCAAAATTATCCATCTTCACCCCAGCAATACCAAAACCCCTTTGAAAATGACTGGGTCAGACGATTTTCCAAAAGCAGTAACTTCACATACCTCATGTAAAGTTAATTAATGTGCGCTGCACATCAGGTTTATGCTGAATAACGGCAGCTTCCATACAGCCTCACACATCAACCAGTTTGTATCTTTTTTAATCATGTGAATAAGATTTGAGACTA